GGTAGAAAATAAAATCACAAATACTTTCATTTTTTAAAGGGTGATTCTGGTGTATAAAAAAAAATTTTAAAATCATTAAATTTAAAGTTTGTAGTTGCTTATAACTTTTTATTGTTTTCTTAAATGTTTCACTAATATACCAAAAAAACTAAAGTTGATTTTTGTAAGCACAATTTCACCAACTCGACTCTCGCTTCTTCGTGATCTTGAAAAACAAAAATGGTGCAGTTTCAATTTGAGCCCTCGAATGAGAGGTTTGTATTAGGGTTTTTTTTCAATTCGATTTCATGTAGAATCTATCAAGTTCTAAAGTTTCTTATCTCTTTCGCTCAGAGATTTTGATCTCAATCTTCCCGTCGAAGAAGAAACACAGAATCATCAGGCCACTGAACGTGAGATCGTATCGTTTCGCAAGGCGGTTGGATTCCGATTTCAACCCAGAGACGTGGAGCTTGTCTTAAGTTACTTGAAGCCGCTCGCGGAGGGAAGAACACTTCCGTAAAACAAGATTCATAGGCATAACATCTACTCGCTTCATCCAGACGAACTCGAAGGTATGTTGATTCTATAAAGAATTGATAGTAATCAAATTATTGGTATTGATTCTGGTGGATTTTGATTTTTGTATAGTGGGTTTCGAAAAGGGCAATGAACAAGAATACTTCTTTTTTACCCCTCGAAGTCGTCTCGGCAACGGCGGTGAGAGGGCTTCTCGGTCGGCGAAAGAGGGCTTTTGGCATTCTACCACAGAGAGGAAGAAGATACTTCTGGGAGGCACAGTCATTGGCGAAAAGCAAAACTTCTGCTTCTACAGTGGCAAACTCTTTAGCGGAAAACCACCGAAAGAGGGTAAAACGAAGTGGCTAGTGGTTGAATACAGGCTGGTTGCTTCGAATTCAAGCAGCAACAACATGGTATATAGTATTGGTATGCATTATGTCTCCTTTGGTTATAGCCTATATGACTTGTGTATATAGGAATACTTGTGTATAATGACTTATTTGTCTTACCTTTTGATATGTTGCAGATGGAAATCGACTC